CGGGCCCGTACGCGGGTACCACGCGGGTTTTGGCACCCATTTTGGGGATTGGGGGCGGTACGTGCACGTAGATTAAGTCCCCGAAATTTCAGCCCCGCAGCTTTTATAGGCCCTGAGATGAAAGTGCGTGGCAGACGCACATACAGACACACGGACACACACAGACAACCCCTTGTCAATATGCGTTTTTGCATTGCATAGCTGCAAAAAACGCATAAAAAATGAATGAATAAACAAAAGAGGGGCGAACCTGATAGGAACCACTTTTCCGGATCGATTGCTGCTTCCAGTGCTGCAATATCATAGTATGCTGTGCGTATTCGACCACCGGCTCGTTCCACAGCTGCTATTGCTGTTTGCGATGCCCACTGTACTTCTAGGTTTACTGCACTCGCAAAACAATCAGCTCCCTGAAAAATCACAAACAAACAATGCAATGTATATAGCTCTGCTGTTGCTAAAAATTCGAAATCCAAAACGAAGATAGCCACCTCAGGCGATGCAGCTTTGGTCAAAACATTCCGGTGCGATTTGATGGACCGAAACATTCCTATTCAGGTTTTTATTCAGATTTTAACTTATTCACATTCCCTTTTATTCCCTTACTTTTTACATAAACATACATTATCTAAAATTAAAATTACAACAAAGCAACTCAGAAAAGAATGTCAGCTGTGTTGTCAACGCAAAAATTTGCAAAAAAGATAAACTGATAATTATTTTGCGAAAAAATTAAGTAATCCTGTAACCGGAAGATGTTCTGACGATTTTATGGACCAATATGCGAGGGTGTTGGGAGTGGTAATCGTTCATAAAGTTAAAAATTTTGACAGATTTTTACTATTTCCCATTGCTTCTGCGTTCGTCTCCACGTAGGTCATCCTTGGGGTCATTCTACCATTTCGATTTTATAAAACAACAAAAAAAGGGACCAAAATTTGTCAAAAAATTTGCAATTTTATCAAAAAAAAAAGATTTTGCTAATTTTCATCAAAAAAATTTCACAGTCCAAATTCGTGAAGATGAAACGAACGTCAGGATCGTTAAAAAACTAGAACTTGCCGCGAGGATCGATGACTTTTAGGCATCAACGAGAGATAGTTTTAAAAAAGGCCCCTTCAGAGTTTTCCACAGCATTTTCACACTACAAAGGACGGAGACAAACAGCAAACAAGCAAATCCAGTGATGGAGATTGGCCCAACGTCCTTCGATTTGTTGCTAAATCCAGAACAGTTGGAATGCAGATCATCTGAACAGCACTGATTTGGAATCTCACCTGATCAGTAAGCTGGACACCGAATTGCCGCAACGATGGATTGCAATGATATCTTCGGGTATTGCACAAGGCCGTGAGATCGATAAGCCTTGAAGTGTCCAGCCAACCCAAATCGATCAACCGTTGTAGCTCAATCAATGATACTGGTGGATATTCACGTCGTAGACTGAAAATTATGCAATTATACCAAGGACTGCAAAGAGCAGGAAATAAAGCATAAAACAAACAGCGAAAACACATACGTATAAAATACATACATACACTACACACTTACGTGCATACATATGCACATACATACATACATTACATACATACATACATACATACATACATACATACATACATACATACATA